TATATATATATATATATATATATATATATGCATATATATGTATGTGTATATTTATATATTTATATTCATGTAAATATATAAAAAATGTTTATGTAAAGAGTTGAACCGGAAATAACTGAGTAGAAAGAAAAAGAGAAAGAACTTTTCGTTTCGTAGCTCACCTTTAAACCACAAAGATTTTATGAGAGTTCGAAACGGAGTCTCAAGAAAATGCCGCACAGTCGATCGTAACGAGCAAGCTTCTCATAGAACAACCTTCTTCGATCTTTTAAGGATTTTCTTAGTGATCTCTCCGAAGGAATACGCGAGTGTTATCCTTTATTTACTCCTTTTTTTAGCTCTGCTTCTTTTTTGTTATATTTTTGAAAAGAAAAAGAAGAAGTCATCGCACAAACTGGATATGGTGGGATCTTCGTACGTTCTCGGAAAGATTTATCGATCACGTGACAGAAACAGACAAAAAGGTATAACTAATAAAAGGATTGTGTGATTGTTTTGAAAATTAACGAAAATTTGTCGAAATTTTCATCGACTATTGTTTTTCGCGTTATTTTCTATGATCGCCTCACCCTGCCCCCTCCACTTTCTTTCTTTCTTCATCTTGTTAACGCGAAGTGAAAATTTAAAAAGTTTGATTAGAAGGAACGACAACATGTGGATTTGACGTCATTCCGACAACAATCGTCATCATCGTCGTCGTCGTATTCGAAATAAATTAGAACGACGAGTCAGCGATGCTTCTTCTGCTTCAACGTTGTCGTCATTTTCAAATACGATCATGTTCCTCTAAGTTTGTCATCTTGAAGAGTACACCAAGCTCATCTCTAAACATGTGGACTCGTTGTTTCGATGAGCATCGACATTCCCATAAAACAAGAAGTTTATTCATCAATTATTCTTCGTGGGAAAACTTGTTAATTATACCAAGCAGATAAACGTTAATATCTTCAATAAAAAAAAAAACATTAAGCATTTTGAGTCTCCTTACGTTTAATCGTAAATCTCAAACAAAGAAGTTAGCTCTTACCTAAGGTACATATATATATTCTTCAGTCTCTCTCTCTCTCTTTTTGAGTTTCTACTTAATAAATTATAAAAGGAGAGCAAGAGGAGGAAGGTTCAAGGATGGTAGAATGATATTTTTCATTTGACAAAGCCAAACGTCATACATATATATGATTAGAATCTTTCAACGAGGAAATAGAGCACCAACAAAAAGATGAAAGTCAGAAGTTATCCTGGTCGTGCTGTTCTGGAAGACCCGGAACTACTATTGGACCCAGACGCAACTCGAGGTCGAGCCATGGAGTTACTTTACGAGGCCAGTTGGAGGGAATGTGGCATCAACTGGACAAACGACAGTAGGAGCAATAAGGTTGTATCTCGTGAACGGGACGAATTGGAATGCCGAGAACCGTACGCCGAGGTGATCTCACAATTGGAAGGAGTACTTGAGGGTAGTCCTAATGGTGGTAGTGGTGGTGATGATGGTGACTGTGGAGGTGAAGATTCTAGGGGTTCTTCTAGCCCAAGAGAAGGTGGTGGTAGGTCTAGAAGATCTAGTAGTACTGGTACCGCTAGTAGTAGTGATTCTTCCGAAACGAATCAGCCTGTTGGTGGCAATGGCCAAAGTGGATTTCTCATTCCAAGACCGAGACTCATCGTACCGGTTCACACCTACGCTAGGAGACGACGGACCGGGGCTCCACAACCTATCAGAAGACGCCAAATACGCCAAGGTATAAGCTATCTCGACAACAGGTCACTATTTGTTTCTTTTATAAGTCTTTCTCTTTTTCCATCTCTCTCGCTCAAGATCCGGTAAACCATATTCTCTTTTTTTTTTGCGAAGGACAGAATACTCTTTTCTTCGACGAGTTACCTTACCTGTGTAAAGTAGACATACTATGAGTCCGCTACCTTTTCTTACCGTACCAAAGAAAGACCACGAGTTATCTTTATAGAGAATAAGTCATGATATTTTATTTTTTCCTCTTTAGAAATGCTTATACTGTTAATACGAGAATGATCTCTTCCACGCGCTACACTCTATCCTTGATATACGAAAGAATGTAGACTATCTTTAGTCACTTGTATCATCGATCATTCGAGTATATTATTCTTCTGAATTATAAGCTTCTCAACGTTGACTAATTGTAAGTAAACGTTAGTCTTTTCTACCTACACGCAATAGCATCATCATATTTATTTACGATTGGTTCTAGTGAAACTTACTGTCTAACGGAGAAAAGAGAAAACGAATTGTGGCAAATGATTTGTTTATCTACTGCACAGATTAGCGTTTATTTAGATTGGAAGAATATAATATTAATTCGTAGGTATACTTTTTAGAGCATAAAACCTGATTTTACCTTTACTGTTGGTTGGATCTCTTTTAATTAGATTCAATTAAGTACATTTCGTATTTCTAAGTAAGTAAGATCGAAAGTATTATCTATATATTGTTTATCATTATCTCGATTAGAAAGAACTTTAATATAAAACGATATAAATTTTAGCATAATTACTTTGAATAATTAATCGATAAATCTTTTCGTTATAAACTTAATGATCAAATCAACATAATCTCTCTAATTTGATTATTTTTACTACGTTCATGTAAAGTTAATAACTTTTGTCGACTTTTTTATCAGTCCGATAATTTTCCAGGGAATAAGGTCGGATAACGAGTTTATCCCGGATATTTCTCACGATCTATTCCTACTTATCTATCACAAGCATTCATCTTAATGCTGCTGTACTAGTCTCTCGTAGTTCGATGTACCACGGAGAAAGTTATACGAATGAACGTGCAAAAACCAAGGATAATGGAAATCGATCTAACCATTGTCGCATCGATATCAGGATATAATATTTCCAAATGACCGTAATACGACCGCACTAATGTCTTTGGTATTTAGATTTTGAAAAAATCATCCGAGTTGAACTTTTAAAAAGTATTGAGTTTAACATAATGTGTAATCAGAAATACATGATCAGCTATTTACAGACTAATTTTGAAAATTTAGTAACAATAAACTTGATTAATGCTTCAATTTATATTTAATTATATTTTTAATTAATTTCTTTAATCCTCTGACAACAACAATATTTCTACAAATTTACGATACTACTAATTTATTATTTAATAATGTTACTTAATTATGTTTTATTAATATTAGTAGGGTATATTCACCTCTTAATCTATTCTATCATCTACATAATTGTAGAAATTTATTCGATGCCTTTTTAAAACAAATTTAGTATTTATTTATGACACAGAATAATATTCAGGAATGTAGACATTTCTATATGTTTTTCAGTTTACATAATTGTTCTTTGTGCCAAGTTAAATTGTAATTTTGAGTAATACACTTCAAATTTATTTATATGTTAAAAGGTTAATAATAACCTTTAAGTTTAACACCACATTAAAGAATACAAATGTTAATAGTTATTAAATAAATAATTATATTACAATTTATGTAAATTTATCAAATTTTTTTACATTTTATTTTGTGAAATTAATCGATTTGTTAAATGAATGGCTTATCTGATAAAAAATCTTTTTTAAAATCTACGGCATAACACATAATAAGTTTGAATTGTTTTGAATAATAATAGATTGACAGGAAAATAAAAAAGAAGTTTAAAAGTGAATCAAAAATGAAAATAAAGCGAAATGGTAAATTAAAAGTTTGAGAACTCATAACTTAAATCTTTCATTTTCTTCTTTGTTATAGTTGGCAAAGGGTGTATCTTATTTTCCTTTCACGAATTGTTGAAAATATTGCTCGAAATTTCCGCTGTTCCACTTTCCACGCTCTTGTGAATTTCCGGACGATTCAGTCTCATTTTCAATCTTATACATAAATCTTACATCTATGTAATATGTTTGCAATTTTTATATCTATGAGTATATTTAGTATATAATTGTTTTTTTTTTCTAAATAGTTGATTCAATATATTTTGTTATTACAACAAATTTAATTGAATTAATATTTTTATTACGAGTCAAATTTTACTCAAATGAAATGGAGAATAAACTTAATTCGTTTTTTAGCATTTATAAAAATTACTTATAAAAGAAATTATAATTATAATTTCTCTCTTGTACAAAGAATTTTATTTATAAATTATAATGGATATTTACATAATTCAATGATGAAAATTTAAAGACTAAAAAGATTTTATAAAAACTCAGATTACGTTTCTTCAAATTTTCACATGTTATTATAACAATGGATGTCAAAATTTTGTAGCATATGGTTGATGAGAAGTAGCTGGTGTTTTCGATAGATGAGTGATCCTGAACAGGGCCAGAATGCAACCGACAGGAACTCTCGCAGCTGTCGTGCGGAATTCCTTGTAATTCGAGTCATGCTTCGAAGCAAATTTGGTCACGCTATTCGACGTCGAACAAACGCTTGTCCTCAGTCCCTGATGCTCTGCATAATTAATTACTTCTCTACGACTTTTAAACTCGTAACTCGATCGACTTATGGTGAAAGTTATTATCGAACACTAAAAGCAAGTTGATTAAATTATTTATATACATTTATTCTCAACAAATATTCAGACACTACAAATATAAGCAATTTTATAACTCCATATTTTTATTGTTTATAAATCAATCATTCTAGTTATTGTTATTTAGATCATTTATTAATCTTAATAAATATATATAATTTATTTTTACAAATTTTAGATATATCTCATAACAAAAATAATGTCATATTTACTTACAAAAGTATTCGAACAATGTTTATTTTTATTATTTATCTATTTAATGTTATTTAATATTGAAAATATAATTTTTATATTTTGTAGCGTAATCATTTTGTTTTAGAGTGTTTTTTAATCTATTCGTCATATTATGAATAATTTTGTAAACATATTCTATTTTTAAATTCGCCCATTTATTATCTAATTCAATTATCTGAAGTAATGGAAATTTTTCGAATTGTCCTATTTTCAATGGGATTAAAATCCAGTGATTATAGTTGGGGATAAAGAATTTTGGGTCATTTAATTAATATGAATTTTTGCAAAATGCATACCTTGTGCAAGACAAAGATCTTGATAAAATTAAATAACGTAAATTAATTAAATAAAGTAAATTGCTTTTAAGTATGTTTAAATACAAATTTTTTCCCATAATGCTGTCAATTAACACTAAATTTCCAAGCTTTAGATAAGTAAATGCAGTTCTAAAACATTGAGTTGAATTCTCCGAATTTAATCGTATCATACCGTAAAATTTTACATTATTTCTTTGAATAATTTGTATTACGCAATACCTATAAGTAAATTTGTCAATATTGTTATTTTACTCTCCTTTTTATTGGTTCGAATTACTTCTGTACAATTATCTTTTCACGCTTATCCAATACTACCCAAGATGTCACAACTTTTTACGACCTCACTGGAGCCAAACATCACAGGTTTTTGTTTTTCCGAATGGGTGTCATCCATTCATTTCATTAACCGTGCCCATATTGCTTAACTTCAGTGGTCTGACGAGAACTAATAATTCGATATGTTTATATCGTTGATTACATAAATTTTTCAAATAAATTATAAACTTTTAGAGAAATTAATAAATGTCCTATTGATAAAAAAAATAACACAATGTTTTTATAAACAATCGAAAAATGAAGCCAAAAATTTAGGTATATTTTGTAGTGTCTGAATATTTGTTGAAGTAAGTTTACATTACTGTAAACACAAAGAATGAAATCAATCGTCTATTATTTTATCTATTATTAGATCAAAACAGGATGCATGAAGCGATAATAAAAATAATTATTGAAAGAACCATTTGAGGACTTCACATGAGCCTTCTACTGTGAATAACGATTAACGATAATTCATGGGGATCTGATTATCGATTGTAATTTATATCTTTTAAATATATATGTATATATGTGTGTATAAAATATTTTGAAATTCGTATTATACGATAGAGTGCACGTGTGCTTTTATAAACTTCCATGACTATCATAACCATTCGCCTATTTATAAATTATTAACTCGTCAATGTAAATTGTTTAAATAATGAAGTAGATTATCGAAGGATTCGAAAGCTTATCGATTTATTCGACACAGTCATCGTCATAATATCCTCAAATAAGCATCGATTATTCAACGAACAAAACACATTATTTTCTGCGATGATTTTTTCGAGACTCCAATAGATCTTATTGAAAATTCAAAAGAAAACTTATAGATGTGTACGAAAAATCTTCAAATTGTATCATTCGAACTTTGTACATTTTTTATAAGAACATAAACTCCTAATGATAAGAAAAAAACTCGTATACTACTTATGTGGTTATAATAAATGATAGAAAATTTAAGAATTAAATAAAATATAGTTTGTAGGGTAAACAAAAAAGTTCGTGCCTTTTCTAGGTTTCCATATCATTTATAAAATGGTATAAATTTGTTTGATTACTTGATATTATAAAATAATATAAAATATATTTTAATAATTATTAAAATTGTAATTAACAAAGTTAAAGGATACCTAAATCTAGAAACAGAGAAAGAAGGAAATATACTTTCTTGGTAATTTAATATATGATATTTTTTATCGAAATATATCGAAAACTTTTAAACCTAAATGAAAAACTGTCATTGAAATTAATTGCAGTTCATTCATTGGAATTGCATATATTTCTAGAATATAGAATAAAAAATAAAAATCATTATGACCTTCTTGGTATCATGCAGAAAT